TAAGTGTAACATTGATGTAGTTCTGTAGTACAGATGTAAGTGAAACATTGATAAAGTTCTGTAGTACAGATGTAAGTGTAACATTAATGTAGTTCTGTAGTACAGATGTAAGTGTAACATTAATGTAGTTCTGTAGTATAGATGTAAGTGTAACATTAATGTAGTTCTGTAGTACAGATGTAAGTGTAACATTGATGTAGTTCTGTAGTACAGATGTCAGTGTAACATTAATGTAGTTCTGTAGTACAGATGTCAGTGTAACATTAATGTAGTTCTGTAGTACAGATGTAAGTGTCATGTAACATTAATGTATGTAGTACATTAATGTAACATTAATGTATTCTGTAGTACAGATGTAAGTGTAACATTAATGTAGTTCTGTAGTACAGATGTAAGTGTCATGTAACATTAATGTAGTTCTGTAGTACAGATGTAAGTGTAACATTAATGTATTCTGTAGTACAGATGTAAGTGTAACATTAATGTAGTTCTGTAGTACAGATGTAAGTGTCATGTAACATTAATGTAGTTCTGTAGTACAGATGTAAGTGTAACATTGATGTAGTTCTGTAGTACAGATGTAAGTGTAACATTAATGTAGTTCTGTAGTACAGATGTAAGTGTAACATTGATGTAGTTCTGTAGTACAGATGTAAGTGTAACATTAATGTAGTTCTGTAGTACAGATGTAAGTGTAACATTAATGTATTCTGTAGTACAGATGTAAGTGTCATGTAACATTAATGTAGTTCTGTATTACAGATGTAAGTGTAACATTAATGTAGTTCTGTAGTACAGATGTAAGTGTCATGTAACATTAATGTAGTTCTGTAGTACAGATGTAAGTGTAACATTAATGTATTCTGTAGTACAGATGTTAGTGTAACATTAATGTAGTTCTGTAGTACAGATGTTAGTGTAACATTAATGTAGTTCTGTAGTACAGATGTAAGTGTAACATTAATGTAGTTCTGTAGTACAGATGTAAGTGTAACATTGATGTAGTTCTGTAGTACAGATGTAAGTGTAACATTGATGTAGTTCTGTAGTACAGATGTAAGTGTCATGTAACATTAATGTAGTTCTGTAGTACAGATGTAAGTGTAACATTAATGTAGTTCTGTAGTACAGATGTAAGTGTAACATTAATGAAGTTCTGTAGTACAGATGTAAGTGTAACATTAATGTAGTTCTGTAGTACAGATGTAACATTAATGTAGTTCTGTAGTACAGATGTAAGTGTAACATTAATGTAGTTCTGTAGTACAGATGTAACATTAATGTAGTTCTGTAGTACAGATGTAAGTGTCATGTAACATTAATGTAGTTCTGTAGTACAGATGTAAGTGTCATGTAACATTGATGTAGTTCTGTAGTACAGATGTAAGTGTCATGTAACATTAACGTAGTTCTGTAGTACAGATGTAAGTGTAACATTAATGTAGTTCTGTAGTACAGATGTAAGTGTAACATTAATGTAGTTCTGTAGTACAGATGTAAGTGTAACATTAATGTAGTTCTGTAGTACAGATGTAAGTGTAACATTGATGTAGTTCTGTAGTACAGATGTAAGTGTAACATTAATGTAGTTCTGTAGTACAGATGTCAGTGTAACATTAATGTAGTTCTGTAGTACAGATGTAAGTGTCATGTAACATTAATGTAGTTCTGTAGTACAGATGTAAGTGTAACATTAATGTAGTTCTGTAGTACAGATGTAAGTGTAACATTGATGTAGTTCTGTAGTACAGATGTAAGTGTAACATTAATGTAGTTCTGTAGTACAGATGTAAGTGTAACATTGATGTAGTTCTGTAGTACAGATGTAAGTGTAACATTAATGTAGTTCTGTAGTACAGATGTCAGTGTAACATTAATGTAGTTCTGTAGTACAGATGTAAGTGTCATGTAACATTAATGTAGTTCTGTAGTACAGATGTAAGTGTAACATTAATGTAGTTCTGTAGTACAGATGTAAGTGTAACATTGATGTAGTTCTGTAGTACAGATGGAAGTGTAACATTAATGTAGTTCTGTAGTACAGATGTAAGTGTAACATTAATGTAGTTCTGTAGTACAGATGGAAGTGTCATGTAACATTAATGTAGTTCTGTAGTACAGATGTAAGTGTCATGTAACATTAATGTATTCTGTAGTACAGATGTAAGTGTCATGTAACATTAATGTAGTTCTGTAGTACAGATGTGTCATGTAACATTAATGTAGTTCTGTAGTAAAGATGTAAGTGTCATGTAACATTAATGTAGTTCTGTAGTATAGATGTAAGTGTCATGTAACATTAATGTATTCTGTAGTACAGATGTAAGTGTCATGTAACATTAATGTAGTTCTGTAGTACAGATGTTTTTTTTCCATAGTTATAATTACGACGTCAATGATGATACAATCGTGACGTCACTAATAATTCGATGTTTTTGGCGCAATATAAGGATACAAAAAGGAGTATATTAAAATGTATAAAAAATAAAGTAATGATACGGTGCTGAAAGTGTATATATTGAGCAATGTGAACAACATGGCAGTAATATGCTATTATCTAATAAACTATTAAATGCCAGAATTTCATATTTTTTTATCTAAATTTATTAATTTAATGATTTTTCATTATAAGAATGGAACACTTTTTAAAATTTTTTATCGAACAATCAACTATCTGAATAATCACCATATTCAACACGTATCAAATAGAATATCATAAACAAGATATCACAGTTCCTTAACATACTTCTGGTGTCCTTCCAGGACTTGTCTGGTCAGGACAATAAACGTCAGATAAATAAATATGATAATTTAATCTTGAAAGTCTCATTGCGTATTTGACACGCCAGATGCACCAATTAATGTTATTACAATAATAACACAGATATATGTGCACACTGAATAATAAATATTATCATTTATGAGCATACATACACTTATAACTGTGTCTAGTTCTGAAATAACATTACTTAAATACTTAACCTTTCATACTAATTATCAAACAGCGTGCACTCAGCAACAATATTCCATTCACGGTAACAGTCTCATTAAAACACCACACTTCTTTCTCTCGGGTATATATGTATGTTACCAGTATATATACTATGTTACCAGTATATATGTATATGTTATGTATGTTACCAGTATATATGTATGTTACCAGTATATATGTATGTATGTTACCAGTATATATACTATGTTACCAGTATATATGTATGTTACCAGTATATATGTATGTATGTTACCAGTATGTTATGTATGTTACCAGTATATATGTATGTTACCAGTATATATGTATGTGTGTTACCAGTATATATACTATGTTACCAGTATATATGTATGTTACCAGTATGTTATGTATGTTACCAGTATATATGTATGTTACCAGTATGTATGTATGTATGTTACCAGTATATATACTATGTTACCAGTATATATGTATGTGTGTTACCAGTATATATATGTATGTTACCAGTATATATACTATGTTACCAGTATATATGTATGTATGTTACCAGTATGTTATGTATGTTACCAGTATATATGTATGTTACCAGTATATATGTATGTATGTTACCAGTATATATGTATGTTACCAGTATGTTACCAGTATATATGTATGTTACCAGTATATATGTATGTTACCAGTATATATGTATGTTACCAGTATATATGTATGTTACCAGTATATATGTATGTTACCAGTATGTTATGTATGTTACCAGTATATATGTATGTTACCAGTATATATGTATGTTACCAGTATATATGTATGTTACCAGTATGTTATGTATGTTACCAGTATATATGTATGTTACCAGTATATATGTATGTTACCAGTATGTTATGTATGTTACCAGTATATATGTATGTTACCAGTATATATGTATGTTACCAGTATGTTATGTATGTTACCAGTATATATGTATGTTACCAGTATATATGTATGTTACCAGTATATATGTATGTTACCAGTATATATGTATGTTACCAGTATATATGTATGTTACGTTTGCCCAATGTACAGATAAAGATTCACTTTACCGTTAGGTTTCTAAGCCTATCCGCCTGGGTGTCAGTCTCCATATCTTAAGTCATTCGATTTTTTTATACATTTTAATGCCACGGATCGACAGATCAGGGGTGTTTTGTTTTCATGTTGTCTGTTCGTTTGTGTTGTTACCTTTAACCTTGCAAATAACTATTACATTATAAGATGTATGGCTTTTATACTTGGCATGTGTGTTCCGTGTGACTAGATCTTTCCGGTTCCAAAATGTTTTACCTTGTGACCTTGACCTTTGATCTATTGACATTAAATCAACATTGGCCACAACTATTGAACCAAAAACTGTCAAATACTGACCACAGTTAACACATAAATTATCACAATGTATACATACAATGAGCACGTGCCTTACACAGTATAGTTTCAGTTTATTGTTACAGAATTGTGTTGCAACCGGGGACATAGTGTTTCATAAACACTTCTTGTTTAGTTCAGATTTGGCGTATTTTACTAGTACGAAGATTCTTTGTATGGCATACCGACAGAATCCTGTCACATTTCTGGTAACTATGACATCAGTGCCATGAATATTATCCTTAAGGAAGAATCCTACACTAGCAGTTTCAACTGGAAAACGTATTATTGACAAATTTCAGTATTTCAATTTGAACACTACGATTTTATGGATTCTTTGGCAAAAATGAAAAAGTTTGCAATACAGTGGGGCAAATGTGATATTCTGTCTTGTCTTATGGAGATTGACGATCTGATAGCAAATGAATGTATTGACAGCTGTTCGAAAAAAATCAGACATCCGCTCTTTTTTACAATAGCTTCATTAAAACTTGAACATGAATTCCTTTCAATTTTGTTCTTTTGTATTTATAGTTGTGTCATAAAATAAAGATTGGTCTGTCTTCAAATTACTTGCTAACAAGATAATAAATAATAACAGATAATGTTTTATATCTTATTACTGTATTCCAATATCAATTTGCAAATTGCCGCAACTTGGGTTCAAAAATAAAGAACCTCACTTAAGAGGCCATCTCTCTATAAAGGCCACTTTCATAATTTCCCAGTAGTGGCCGTTTAATACAGGTTAGACTGTATTTTCAAGAGCCTGATAAATATCGTGACACACAACGACACATCGCTTTGATCTGTTCCCAAATCCAGGCTACATATCCGACATGCCCTCTAGCGTTACTTTCCTCACTCGCGTTCGGATTGTTGGACATTTCACTCGCAGCATTCCGCACAGATGTAACCACACGATGGCGAACTGAAGTCCGACTTGGGGAAGTCGATGTGTTTCTCTCTCGATGATATACCATCGTATCAGTGGTGTTGCTTTCAACCTCTCGCGGCGGCGCCCCAGCATCGTCGCCTGGTGTCTGCATCTCCACATCACCACCAGATGTCGCTGTATCTACAACACAGCTGTTCACCTGATCCAAAGTATCAGTGATAAAGGAAGTCAGTTGACGTAGTGGCGTGGCCAGCTGTGATGGACTGATCTGGAGTTCTTCCTCTACCTGTCTTACTAGTCCCGGATACATATCAACTACGACGGGAGCACTGCCGTAATGACTTAACAATCTAAACAGTTTGATCAAATCCTTACATCTGTCTATTCCCGACTCACACCTACCTGTAACGCTTTGACAATATTCCGGATTTAGTACGTCTGCACATGGTGACTGTTGGATTTCAAAAAAAACATGTTTTATTTTCTCATATTTTCGTACTTGGTTCAGTAGATCTTCTTTGCACGATTCTAACTTTGTACAACATACACGATATCTGTCTGAGATACCAACCGTAACGTGGTCCAAGTGTCCCATCACCCGACAAGTAGTACACAAAGGAGCGTTGCAACATGTGCAGAAAACTGTGATTTCTTGGGCCGGATGTGAAGTACATTTGTGGTTTCTATTTCTCATTATGATGTCATACAATTGTCTAACACTGTTATCTACGTCTACGGACATGGCCTCGTGCTTGGAGTCGGAATCATTATTGCCACAACGCCCTTTTAGGCATTGGTCACATGTCCATTTCCAACACTTTAAGCACAGAAGGGTGGCTTTTGTTGTGTTGTCACATCTGACAATTTCGCAAGCATGTTTTTCAGATGGAATTCTCACATCTGCACTTTCATCGCTCAGAGATAGATCGTCTATACCTGAATCTGACGCCAGATGTGGCCTCAAATTGGGTTTACACGTTCCAACCCAAGATTCGGTGGCAGAGTCATTCTGATGATCCGTCCCGCTGTACAGATTAGTCAACAGTGGCTGAAGGGAATGGCATTGCTCCAGCTCCGTCTCTATCCTTTGTTCTAGGTTACGGAAGGTGTCAATGACAACGACATCAGATCCAAACTTCAACAGCTGTGACAACACATTCACCAATTCGTCACAGTTTTGAATATCACGCGAACACATATACATCAATCGCTGACAATCGCTGGTACTAAACAGTTCGACTTTGACAACAGTTTCTAAGTTTGTGTACAGTTGAAGGTCTTTCTTATGTTTCTGTTGTTTTTTCTGTAGTAATGCAGACGTTCGTTCTATATTCACACGTGTTTCTTGTGAAAAGTCCTCGAGGTCTCTCAACTTATGATGAAGGTGACTGTTTAATTTACACAATTTACAGACTAACTTCTTACACTGAGGACAATACCATTCTACAGGTAATGTCTGATGCTCGCGGCAAAAATTATGTCGGCTTCTCTTCACAATATCAAACAAAATGGGATTTATGTCTTTTTGTACGTACGCATTGTGTGAGATTTCACCACTTTCTTCAACACTACATGTCTGTGACTTACAAGTATCACAGATCCAAAGTCGACATTTCAAGCACAGATATGGAGCCCTACGCTGTGTACATTCTGTCACTTCACAGACTGGATCAGTGTCACACTGTAAGTCCACAATTTGCTGAAGCGGGATTGATCTAGGTAGGTTTCTGGCGTTCAGACCTGGTGGCCGATATTCTGTTCTACATATTGGACACGGGGCACAATTCTTACCAATTGTTCTGTAATCTCTGTCGATACATTCAAAACAGAATACGTGTCCACACTGCAATTGTCTGGGATCCGTGAAACTCTCCCAACATAAAGCACATTTCACAATTTCATTTACCCTTGCATCTGAACTGGCCATCTTCTCTAATGATGGGACGGATCTGTAAGTGAGGATAAACTGAATAAATGGTTATTACACATCTGTCAACATTGATTTTGTAGGTAACATGATCACACCAAATCTGTTAAGCTAAACGTCATCTAATACATTTCTTAACTTTAAATTTTGATGATTAACCGGTCAGCCTATATACTCAAAGACTCGTGGGGGAAAAGGACAACATTAAGATACAGACTGAGAAATAGGACAACATTATAATACAGACTGGGGAATACGACAACATTAAGATACAGACTGAGAAATAGGACAACATTATAATACAGACTGGGGAATACGACAACATTAAGATACAGACTGGGAAATAGGACAACATTATAGACAACATTAATATACAGACTGGGACAACATTAAATACGACAACATTAAGATACAGACTGGGAAATAGACAACATTAAGATACATTATGATACAGACTGGGAAATACCGCAACATTAAGATACAGACTGAGAAATAGGACAACATTAAGATACAGACTGGGAAATACGACAACATTAAGATACAGACTGGGAAATACGACAACATTAAAATACATTAAGATACAGACTGGGAAATAAACAACATTACGATACAGACTGGGAAATACGACAACTTTAAGATACTGACTGGGAAATAGGACAATATTAAGATATAGACTGAGAAATAGGACAACATTAAGATACAGATTGGGAAAAAGGACAACATTAAGATACAGATTGGGAAATAGGACAACATTAAGATACAGACTGGGAAATAGGACAACATTAAGATACAGACTGGGAAATAGGACAACATTAAGATACAGACTGGGAAATAGGACAACATTAAGATACAGACTGGGAAATAGGACAACATTAAGATACAGACTGGGAAATAGGACAACATTAAGATACAGACTGGGAAATACGACAACATTAAGATACAGACTGGGAAATTACGACATACATTATGATACAGACTGGGAAATACGACAACATTAAGATACAGACTGGGAAATAGGACAACATTAAGATACAGACTGGGAAATAGGACATCATTAAGATACAGACTGGGAAATAGGACAACATTAAGATACAGACTGGGAAATACGACAACATTAAGATACAGACTGGGAAATACGACAACATTAAGATACAGACTGGGAAATAGGACAACATTAAGATACAGACTGAGAAATAGGACAACATTAAGATACAGACTGAGAAATAGGACAACATTAAGATACAGACTGGGAAATACGACAACATTAAGATACAGACTGGGAAATAGGACAACATTAAGATACAGACTGGGAAATACGACAACATTAAGATACAGACTGGGAAATAGGACAACATTAAGATACATACTGGGAAATAGGACAACATTAAGATACAGACTGAGAAATAGGACAACATTAAGATACAGACTGGGAAATACGACAACATTAAGATACAGACTGGGAAATACGACAACATTAAGATACAGACTGGGAAATACGACAACATTAAGATACAGACTGGGAAATACGACAACATTAAGATACAGACTGGAAAATAGACAACATTAAGATACAGACTGGGAAATACGACAACATTAATATACAGACTCGGAAATAGACAACATTAAGATACAGTGGGAAATACGACAACATTAAGATACAGGGAAAAAGGACAACATTAAGATACAGACTGGGAAATAGGACAACATTAAGATACAGATTGGGAAATAGGACAACATTAAGATACAGACTGGGAAATAGGACAACATTAAGATACGGAATGGGAAATAGGACAACATTAAGATACAGACTGGGAAATAGGACAACATTAAGATACAGAGACAACATTGATACAGACTGGGAAATAGGACAACATTAAGATACAGACTGGGAAATAGGACAACATTAAGATACAGACTGGGAAATACGACAACATTAAGATACATTAAGATACATACTGGGAAATAGGACAACATTAAGATACAGACTGAGAAATAGGACAACATTAAGATACAGACTGAGAAATACGACAACATTAAGATACAGACTGGGAAATACAACAACATTAAGATACAGACTGAGAAATACGACAACATTAAGATACAGACTGGGAAATAGACAACATTAAGATACAGACTGGGAAATAGGACAACATTAAGATACGACAACATTAAGATAAGATACAGACTGGGAAATAGACAACATTAAGATACAGACTGGGAAATACGACAACATTAATATACAGACTGGGAAATAGACAACATTAAGATACAGACTGGGAAATACGACAACATTAAGATACAGACTGGGAAATACGACAACATTAAGATACAGACTGGGAAATAGGACAACATTAAGATACAGACTGGGAAATACGACAACATTAAGATACAGACTGAGAAATAGGACAACATTAAGATACAGACTGGGAAATACGACAACATTAAGATACAGACTGGGAAATACGACAACATTAAGATACATTAAGATACAGACTGGGAAATAGGACAACATTAAGATACAGACTGGGAAATAGGACATCATTAAGATACAGACTGGGAAATAGGACAACATTAAGATACAGACTGGGAAATAGGACAACATTAAATAGGACAACATTAAGATACAGACTAAGATACAGACTGGGAAATACGACAACATTAAGATACAGACTGGGAAATACGACAACATTAAGATACATTAAGATACAGACTGGGAAATAAACAACATTAAGATACAGACTGGGAAATACGACAACATTAAGATACAGATTGGGAAACACGACAACATTAAGATACAGACTGGGAAATAGGACAACATTAAGATACAGACTGGGAAATACGACAACATTAAGATGCAGACTGGGAAATAGGACAACATTAAGATACAGACTGGGAAATACCGCAACCTTACGACAACATTCCCAGTGTGTATCTTAATGTGTCCTATTTCCCAGTCTGTATCTTAGTGTTGTCCTATTTCCCAGATACAGACTGGGAAATACGACAACATTAAGATACAAACTTCGTTACAACAAATTTGGTAGTGCTTCATCCTAGCATGCTACTGGCCTTATATCAAGACCTTGGATCATTTTGTTATTGAGAAGAAGTCGAAAATGTAAATTGTTTACAACGCATGACGGACGACGCCGGACAAAAGACGATCGCAGTAGGTCACTTGACCCTTCGTCTCAGATCGAAATAAGAACAAAAGAAATATTTACACGGAGACTCCTGAAAACATACATTCAGAATAAGACCAGGTGTTCCGAAATAGCAACCATCTTTTGCTTCATCAACGCCAGCCATGTAAAACATCAGTCTGTTCAGGTAAGTAATGCCATGTTCTCAAGAGGGAACAAGGTCTACTCCAACGGAACCAACAGGTAAACTAACGAGTATCAAGCACGTCCAGCTTCTTATCGTACAAAGAAGAGGAATGTTTCTCAATGAGATCACTATGATGTTCATTAAATTTCACTATAATTTTTTTCTGGATCCGAAAAGGCTATTGTGTGGTTTGTTACCTGTGGGACGTACCTAGAGACTTGGAAACCTTTGGATCCCCTCCCCCCCCAAAAAAAAATAGAGATTTGTTTGATAGGATATGTAGAACAGACAATCTTCATGATCTTATAACTGCATTGTTTTCTGTTATATAATATGCATCATTGAATTATTAGATTTTTTTAATTTTTTATTCACAAATCAAAAGCGAAGGTTAAATCATGGCTGTAACTATATCTTTATATAAAATCGTACATTCCTCATGAAACTGACAATCAATAGATCGCGTCTATGCACCTATGTAAGCATATGTTTCATCAAATGACCAGATTACTACTTACCAGCAGTATAACTGTGTGAAAACTTATCTGTCATCACTTTCAATATACAAAAACATGGCGGACGTTCTCCAAACTCATTTCCTGTATTTTGGCAATGTTTTTAGTTTTTTAATCACTGACAGAAGTCTATGTACACAATCATTAACGTAGTGTACAACATACTGATGGACACGTTCATCCTCGAATGATAAACAAACAAAAACAATGGTGAAATAATCCAGTAAACAAAAACAAGAGTTTCCTGTCTGGTATGGTCACGTGAGATATATAAAAAAAAAAGTAAACTTCCGCTACGGTTACTAAATACACAAACACACAATATATGATATAAGATTACGACATCGACAGGAGGGAAAGTGTTAATGAGATATTCATCATTGTGAAATCCAAACTTCAATTTCTAAACTTAAAAGAAAATAGTGCTTTCGTTTTACAGTATGATAATAAGGGCGTGTGCTAAAAATTAACCAGACTGGCAAGGCTCAGCCAAAATACGTATATATAGAACATGTACAAAACTCCTGGTACAAGTCTAGGTCAAGGATGTTTACCCCACGATCAACACGGAACACTAACTTTTATACACACATGTGTATTGTTACGCTACCGTTCACTTTGAAAATCTCATCCTATAATAATTATGAAGTCTTCCCATTTCCGCTGTCACCAGTTCAAGATTAATTGAACAACAAATCAGGTAGATTCTATTTACACTTTATTTACAACACGAACACAAGTAAATCCATCAAATTATATACACACACCGCTTCTCTACTCACAGTCTCGAGTTACTACCCTAAGCATGCACTAATCTACTTTCCTTCCCCGTTCCACACTATAAATCTACACAATATCTCACTACAACTCTAAACCAACCCGCTCCTACTTAACTCTCAAGTCGTTCTCCTCCCTTTCCTAACTCCTCCCAAAACTTAACACAAAACTGTCATACTTCTCTCCTAATTCACGCTACCCACAATTCCCTCAACTTTGACCCCTGGGTCAGTATTACCGGACAGCCGTAACTTCTCTTACCATCTACACTCGCCCCTTCTAGAGTACAGATGGTCACTCTAATGATGTCCAGCGATTATCTATGACTACTTAGATACTCCCTTCCAGTAAAACTGCGACACTGCCCACGTGCCAGAGCTGTTAAACTGTCCAACAACTTATTTACGCTATAAACAAATTAAACGAATTAAACACTACTAAATGCGTGACACTATCATTCTGAAGGATTTCCTTTCTCTTGTCCGCCGCGTTTATCTATCAAAAACACATATTTTAAACAGTTTAAATTACACGAGAACGTAACATCTTCAGCTACAGTGAGATATAATAAAAGGCTTGAATACATGTTACAAATGCTCTGTACAAAAGTAACATTCAAATCATATTTAATTTGTTGACCTCAGCATCACTGCCGATCTGACGAGGACAATCACAATACGTTCACAATATGAAGGGGGGTGGACTGTCACTGAAACACCTATTCCTACTCCAGTCTAACTCTATATTTACCTATTATAAACCTATACTCTGTGGCGGCTAGCAATTAGCCTTCTCTTTTTCGAAAACCAGCAGAGGTTCTTTAACGTGCACGGCGTGACTCACTGTACACCGGGCCCCCGTTTAACGTCCCTTCCGAAGGACAAGAAGTTTTAGAAGATAGCGGGAGAGAGCGTATGGGAAAGTCGGAAATTGGATGATAGGTTTAGCTTGTAAGCGGGTATAGGTTTGTTTTTGGTAGATGGGATTCTATACACTATTTGACTTAGCTAGCCATCATGTTTTAGAGTGTGCATTAAAGTGGGGAATTGGGTTATTAAGTTCAGTTATGAGAGTGATGGTCTGTCGCTGTTTATATACAAATGGGTGGTACCATTTCAAGGTAAAACCCTGCCACTTCCGTCTCTAGCTGCACACGCTACTGCTGGACTAGAGGGAAATTTCCCACTACATAAATAGCTAGCCGTGGTTAGTAATATGACCCCCTGTACTCTCAAAAAATGAATGCGCTTGTAATGAAATGATTTTTAATTACCACGAAGTATGAAAGTTGTTTTATTTCTTTTTGGGTCAACGACATAGTCCACCTTCTATCTGATTTTTGACATTTGTTACAATCACAGTCGCCTTCTATGTCCCTAAGTGTTACTGATGAGTCATAGCAGGACGAAACAGCTGTATGATGTAGTATTACTGATGAATCATAGAAGGACGAAACATCTGTTTGATGTAACATCACGGATGAGTCATAGAAGGACGAAACAGCTGTAAAATGTATCATCACTGACGAGTCATAGAAGGACGAAACAGCTGTAGGATGTAACATCACTGACGAGTCATAGGAGGACGAAACAGCTGTAGGATGTAGCAACACTGACGAGTCATAGGAGGACGAAACAGCTGTATGATGTAGCATCACTGATGAGTCATAGAAGGACGAAACAGCTGTAAAATGTATCATCACTGACGAGTCATAGAAGGACGAAACAGCTGTAGGATGTAACATCACTGACGAGTCATAGGAGGACGAAACAGCTGTAGGATGTAGCAACACTGACGAGTCATAGGAGGACGAAACAGCTGTATGATGTAGCATCACTGATGAGTCATAGAAGGACGAAACAGCTGTAGGATGTAGCAACACTGACGAGTCATAGGCAGACGAAACAGCTGTAGGATGTAGCAACACTGACGAGTCATAGGCAGACGAACCAGCTGTAGGATGTAGCAACACTGACGAGTCATAGGCAGACGAAACAGCTGTAGGATGTAGCAACACTGACGAGTCATAGGCAGACGAACCAGCTGTAGGATGTAGCAACACTGACGAGTCATAGGAGGACGAAACAGCTGTAGGATGTAGCATCACTGACGAGTCATATAAGGATGAAACAGCTGTAGGATGTGGCAACACTGACGAGTCATAGGAGGACGAAACAGCTGTAGGATGTAGCAACACTGACGAGTCATGGGCAGACGAAACAGCTGTATGATGTAGCATCACTGACGAGTCATAGGAAGACGAAACAGCTGTACCTCCTAGTATAGTATCCAGTAGTCTTCTTCACAAATACAGATCTGACTATAAGTACTACCTCCTAGTATAGTATCCAGTAGTCTTCTTCACAAATACAGATCTGACTATAAGTACTACCTCCTAGTATAGTATCCAGTAGTCTTCTTCACAAATACAGATCTGGCTATAAGTACTACCCCCTAGTATAGTATCCAGTAGTCTTCTTCACAAATACAGATCTGACTATTAGTACTACCTCCTAGTATAGTATCCAGTAGTCTTCTTCACAAATACAGATCTGACTATTAGTACTACCCCCTAGTATAGTATCCAATAGTCTTCTTCACATACAAATACAGATCTGACTATTAGTACTACCTCCTAGTATAGTATCCAGTAGTCTTCTTCACAAATACAGATCTGACTATACGTACTACCTCCTAGTATAGTATCCAATAGTCTTCTTTACATACAAATACAGATCTGACTATTAGTACTACCTCCTAGTATAATATCCAGTAGTCTTCTTCACAAATACAGATCTGACTATAAGTACTACCTCCTAGTATAGTATCCAATAGTCTTCTTCACATACATATACAGATCTGACTATTAGTACTACCTCCTAGTATAGTATCCAATAGTCTTCTTCACATACAAATACAGATCTGACTATAAGTACTACCTCCTAGTATAGTATCCAATAGTCTTCTTCACATACAAATACAGATCTGACTATTAGTACTACCCCCTAGTATAGTATCCAGTAGTCTTCTTCACATACAAATACAGATCCGACTATAAGTACTACTCCCTAGTATAGTATCCAGTAGTCTTCTTCACATACAAATACAGATCTGACTATAAGTACTACCTCCTAGTATAGTATCCAGTAGTCTTCTTCACAAATACAGATCTGACTATAAGTACTACCCCCTAGTATAGTATCCAGTAGTCTTCTTCACAAATACAGATCTGACTATAAGTACTACCCCCTAGTATAGTATCCAGTAGTCTTCTTCACAAATACAGATCTGACTATAAGTACTACCCCCTAGTATAGTATCCAGCAGTCTTCTTCACAAATACAGATCTGACTATAAGTACTACCCCCTAGTATAGTATCCAGTAGTCTTCTTCACAAATACAGATCTGACTATAAGTACTACCTCCTAGTATAATATCCAGTAGTCTTCTTCACAAATACAGATCTGACTATAAGTACTACCTCCTAGTATAGTATCCAGTGGTCTTCTTCACATACAAATACAGATCTGACTATAAGTACTACCCCCTAGTATAGTATCCAGTAGTCTTCTTCACATACAAATACAGATCTGACTATTAGTACTACTCCCTAGTATAGTATCCAGTAGTCTTCTTCACATACAAATACAGATCTGACTATAAGTACTACTCCCTAGTATAATATCCAGTAGTCTTCTTCACATACAAATACAGATCTGACTATAAGTACTACCTCCTAGTATAGTATCCAGTAGTCTTCTTCACATACAAATACAGATCTGACTATTAGTACTACCCCCTAGTATAGTATCCAGTAGTCTTCTTCACATACAAATACAGATCTGACTATAAGTACTACCCCCTAGTATAGTATCCAATAGTCTTCTTCACATACAAATACAGATCTGACTATAAGTACTACCCCCTAGTATAGTATCCAGTAGTCTTCTTCACAAATACAGATCTGACTATACGTACTACCTCCTAGTATAGTATCCAGTAGTCTTCTTCACAAATACAGATCTGACTATAAGTACTACCTCCTAGTATAGTATCCAGTAGTCTTCTTCACAAATACAGATCTGACTATAAGTACTATCCCCTAGTATAGTATCCAGTAGTCTTCTTCACAAATACAGATCTGACTATAAGTACTACCTCCTAGTATAGTATCCAATAGTCTTCTTCACATACAAATACAGATCTGACTATAAGTACTACCTCCTAGTATAGTATCCAATAGTCTTCTTCACATACAAATACAGATCTGACTATTAGTACTACCCCCTAGTATAGTATCCAGTAGTCTTCTTCACATACAAATACAGATCTGACTATAAGTACTACTCCCTAGTATAGTATCCAGTAGTCTTCTTCACATACAAATACAGATCTGACTATAAGTACTACCCCCTAGTATAGTATCCAGTAGTCTTCTTCACAAATACAGATCTGACTATAAGTACTATCCCCTAGTATAGTATCCAGTAGTCTTCTTCACAAATACAGATCTGACTATAAGTACTACCTCCTAGTATAGTATCCAGTAGTCTTCTTCACAAATACAGATCTGACTATAAGTACTACCCCCTAGTATAGTATCCAGTAGTCTTCTTCACAAAAACAGATCTGACTATTAGTACTACCCCCTAATATAGTATCCAGTAGTCTTCTTCACATTACTGTCAAATACAGATCTGACTATTAGTACTACCCCCTAGTATGGTATCCAGTAGTCTTCTTCACATACGAATACAGATCTGACTATTAGTACTACCCCCTAGTATAGTATCCAGTAGTCTTCTTCACATACAAATACAGATCTGACTATTAGTACTACCTCCTAGTATAGTATCCAATAGCCTTCTTTACATACAAATACAGATCTGACTATAAGTACTACCCTCTAGTATAGTATCCAATAGTCTTCTTCACATACAAATACAGATCTGACTATTAGTACTACCCCCTAGTATAGTATCCAGTAGTCTTCTTCACAAATACAGATCTGACTATAAGTACTACCCCCTAGTATAGTATCCAGAAGCCTTCTTCACATACAAATACAGATCTGACTATTAGTACTACCTCCTAGTATAGTATCCAGTAGTCTTCTTCACATTACTGTCAAATACAGATCTGACTATTAGTACTACCCCCTAGTATAGTATCCAATAGTCTTCTTCACATACAAATACAGATCTGACTATTAGTACTACCCCCTAGTATAGTATCCAATAGTCTTCTTCAGATACAAATACAGATCTGACTATTAGTACTACCCCCTAGTATAGTATCCAGTAGTCTTCTTCACATACAAATACAGATCTGACTATTAGTACTACCTCCTAGTATAGTATCCAGTAGTCTTCTTCACATACAAATACAGATCTGACTATAAGTACTACCCCCTAGTATAGTATCCAGTAGTCTTCTTCACATACAAATACAGATCTGACTATAAGTACTACCCCCTAGTATAGTATCCAGTAGTCTTCTTCACAAAAACAGATCTGACTATTAGTACTACCCCCTAGTATAGTATCCAGTAGTCTTCTTCACATACAAATACAGATCTGACTATTAGTACTACCTCCTAGTATAGTATCCAGTAGTCTTCTTCACATACGAATACAGATCTGACTATAAGTACTACCCCCTAGTATAGTATCCAATAGTCTTCTTCACATACAAATACAGATCTGACTATTAGTACTACCTCCTAGTATAGTATCCAGTAGTCTTCTTCACAAAAACAGATCCGACTATAAGTACTACCCCCTAGTATAGTATCCAATAGTCTTCTTCACATACAAATACAGATCCGACTATAAGTACTACCCCCTAGTATAGTATCCAAAAGCCATCTTCACATACAAATTCAGATCTGACTATTAGTCCTACCTCCTAGTAGAGTATCCATTTGCCTGACATAACAATTATCTTGTCTGTTTACGGGGTGATAAACTCAGCCAAGAAATAGCACAAATAAACAAACACTACAAAAATATTACTTACTTTTTATTTCTGGCTTTTTAAACATTATTTATAGCATTAACAAATAAATAATATCAAAAATATCCTCTGTAAAAACTAATAAAACAATTCTGTGTTCACTTACATTGACATTAATGATATACTTATAGAACTACAGAACAAGGCTGATATCTATCCATGTTCAACCTTTAGCAAAGTGAACATATCTATAAAATCTGAGGATTTCACTCTCATCATTTAAAAAAACTGACCAATCCAAATGTCTTTAGAATGACAGTAACTATATAGGACAGTATGTAACTATATAGGACAGTAACTATATAGGACAGTAACTATATAGGACAGTATGGCACTATGTAGGACAGTGTGTAACTATGTAGGACAGTATGTAACTATATAGGACAGTAACTATATAGGACAGTATGTAACTATGTAGGACAGTAACTATATAGGACAGTATGTAACTATATAGGACAGTAACTATATAGGACAGTATGTAACTATATAGGACAGTATGTAACTATGTAGGACAGTAACTATATAGGACAGTATGTAACTATATAGGACAGTAACTATATAGGACAGTATGTAACTATATAGGACAGTATGTAACTATATAGGACAGTAACTATATAGGACAGTATGTAACTATATAGGACAGTAACTATATAGGACAGTATGTAACTATATAGGACAGTATGTAACTATGTAGGACAGTAACTATATAGGACAGTATGTAACTATATAGGACAGTATGTAACTGTATAGGACAGTAACTATATAAGACAGTATGTAACTATATAGGACAGTATGTAACTATATAGGACAGTAACTATATAGGACAGTAACTATATAGGACAGTAACTATATAAGACAGTATGTAACTATTTAGGACAGTATGGCACTATGTAGGACAGTGTGTAAAGATACTTTTTATACAGAGCAGCGGTGCAAGATTTAGGATCCTAATTTCAATCAGATTAATCCTAACAATAACCAATATATCAGACTATACTTGTAGCGTCCACCTTTATCATCACAATAATCTTGAATGTGAAACAAAACTGTAGTGTATAGACTGTTGTTATTTCTTTATGTTGCAAGTAGGAATTCGGGCTATTGGTCAAATGTTTGTCTTCATTTGTAAAATTTAATATGATTTCATTAGGGTTAACAATTGTGTAGCTTATAATTTTAAACACTTCCCTTCAGAAATAATTATGTCCCAGTAACTATGATTTTGTATCCGTAAAGTGAGTGTCTTCCATTGATTCAGTTTTTTTGGACAGAGTGATCTCCCCTGACTCTGATTTTATACAATACCCTCCACCCTCTGATTGTTGTGATCAAGTTACCTCCCCTTCTTAACCTTTCAGTGATGTCTCCTGTTGTAGGAATATCAATTGTAGCACATCATGTTTAACACATTCTTTGTCAGTCCCCTCGGCAGACTCTAGTTGTTCTTTAGTATGTGTAGTCCTGTGTCGTCGTAATGTGCCCCTGACACGGAAACCCTTCCCACACACCTGACATACATAAGGTTTCTCTCCAGTATGGGTTCGGAGATGAGACTGTAGAGTTCCGGTCTGGCTGAAAGACTTTCCACACACTTCACATTTACATGGTCTTTCTCCCGTGTGTATTCGAACATGTTTCTTCAAACTACCTGACCCTATGAAGCCCTTACCACAAATGTCACAGCTGTATGGTTTCACCCCTGAATGGATACGCATGTGGGTCCTTAAGTGACCAGCCTCAGTGAAACCTTTCTCACAGATTGTACATTCGTAAGGTTTCTCCCCTGTGTGTATCCTTGAGTGGATCTGAAGAGTGCCTGCCTGATTAAATCCTTTACCACAGATTTCACACTTGTATGGTTTTTCTCCTGTATGTGTCCTTATATGTCGTCGCAAGTCCCAAACTTTACTGAAGGTACGATCACAGATCTCACACTTGTGGGGTTTTTCACCTGTATGTATAACCATGTGTCGCTGTACAGTACCTGCTTGGTTGAAGCCTTTACCACAGACGTCACATTTGTAGGGTTTTTCCCCGGTGTGGGTACGGAGATGAACCTGTAGGGTACAGGCTTCAGTAAAGCCTTTACCACAAATATCACATTTGTAGGGTTTTGTTTCTGAATGTAACTTCATGTGTGCAGTGTAAGTGACCTGATCACTCAAACCCTTACCACAGACATCACATTTGAACGGTTTGTCGCCTGTGTGTGTGGTCATGTGTCGAATTAAATCAGCTGACTTGATAAAACCTTTATTACACACATCACACTTGTACGGTTTTTCCCCTGTATGTATCCACTGATGCCTTCCGAGCGTCCCCGCCTGACTAAACGTCTTACCACACACATCACATGTGTACGGTTTTTCACCAGTATGAGTTCTTATATGCCTTTCTACATCCCCAGATTTAGCAAACATTTTCTCACAGATATCACACTTGTACGGTTTTTCACCTGTGTGTATGCGTTCGTGACGTTTGAGTGTTCCAGCTTGACTGAAATCTTTACCACAGAGTTCACATCTATATGGTTTTTCACCTGTGTGCGTACGTAAGTGTATCTGTAGATCTCCAGAGAAAATAAACTCTTTTTCACATGCATTGCATTTAAATGGTTTATTATCTGTATGCATTCTCTGATGTGACTTCAAACTGTCAACTTTCCCAAACCTTTTCCCACATGTATCACATTTGTGTGGCCTGTCCTTACTTGGGTTATGTGTGGTCAGATGTCTTTCAAGATGATCTGCTTTACTAAAACATTTCTGACAGAAATTACACTCATATGGTTTGATACCGAGATGAATCTTTAGATGACATTGTAGATATCGTGCCTTGTCGAAGCCTTTGCCACACTTCTCACAGTTAAATGCCTTCTCCCCCTCATGAACTTTCACATGCTGCTGTAGGTCCCCCTCATCCCTGTAGGCTTTCCCACATGTCTCACATTTAAATGATTTCTCCATTGTATGAACGCGCATGTGGCGTAGAAGGTTTCCAGCCACATTGAAACCTTTGCCACAGATTTCACACTTGAATGGTTTCTCTCCAGTGTGAATCATAAAATGACGCTGAAGATGTCCAGCCCTTATAAATCCCTTACCACAGACCTCACATCTGTAGGGTGTCTCCCCCGTGTGGAGCTTCTCATGTTGCTGTTGACTTCTCAGTTCGGTGAATCCTTTACCACAAATACCACATCTGAAATGTTTGATGCCAGAGTCGTTGTGTATTTTGAGATGTCGCCACAGCTTGGCTGATTCTAAGAAGCCTTTTTTACACACCCCACAGCTGTATGGCTTTACTCCAGTGTGTGTACGGAGATGGCGTTTCAACTGCTTCTTTGTACTGAAGGACTTGCCACACTCATCACAGTTATTGTATCGGTCCTCCATAGGTGATAAAACACTTACTTGTGACTTCTCTATGTCCTCATCAGTCTGAAGAACATTCCCACATACCTCATCCCTAGATATAGGTATGCACAATTCTTCGTCTGTTGACTCCAATACCTCCCCATTGTTTGGACTACACTTGTTACCAGTAGTAGAGTTTGTTACACCCTCTGGTCCCTCTATCAGTGATGGAGATATCTCCATCAGAGGTTCGCCTCTGATTATTGATGGAGATAGGATTCCTTCCTGCTCCTCGACATCTACAAAATAAAAAATCAACAAACCGATCATAAAACCTGGTGACAAATATGGCTTACTGACATATACAATGTACCGAGTCAAATTCTCATTTTGAATTATCAATTCAAAATAGATTCTTGAAAATGGTTGACATCAGCTTTTAATGGCAGAAAGCAAAATAATCTCAAACTGATGATGATGATATATAAGACAAGTTCTGGAAGTCCTGTAAGACAAAACTGCTTCATTGCATAACTGCAGTACAAACTGAGGCTTATTACCTGACACTAAACGGAGAAAGCATCTGTTTGTACTGCTACAGAATACAATATATATATATAGGTAGGCTTATTTTTTGAAATAGACTTATTTCTGGATAAATATAAAATTCTTTATAAGTTAAAAAAAATGTTACTCATTACATTAAGGTTTTTTACCTGTAAACACCATATACATGTCTGTAGCACTGGTCTCTTCATCCTCCTCAACATCAGATTCTGATGTTAACTCGTTTGTACCATCATCTACTGTCTCATTGTACTTATCATCATTTCCATCTACATTTTCATCGTCATCTTCACTTTTATCTACATTTTCATCGTCACCTTCACTTTTATCTACCATCTCAATGCCATCTTTTCCACCAATATCATTTTCTTTATCATCTCCCCTGTCATCTACCACCTCATTGTTATCCTTTTCTGTCTCCACATCCTCTGATTCCTCCTCTGACTCATCCTCTAGGTAATCAGAAGTATCTGACTGCCTTTCGTCACCAAAATCACCATTCTGATCACAATATAATTTTGATCCATTTTTCAATGTTGTGTAAGGCTTTGAGAGAATCGCAGCATCTCCATTCATCACAGCATCAATGTTATTAACTGTTTTATCATCAATTGATCTATTTAACATACTCAATCGATCATCAGCTTGAAATTGATTTGATCCAATGTCAATATTGAATGACCCCACACTGGTGTATTGAGATTTTACATCATATTTTGAATATTGTTTCAGTTCTGATTCCAGCTGGTCGTCATCTGCTAGTGAAACAAGATGGTCGAGGTCAGAATCTTTTTCCACAATGATTTTACTTATATCACATTCATTATGGTCCCCTGATAGTCTTGCAATACTAGTTGATATGTCATCCATGGCTGGGTTTGTTCTTTTATTGAGGTGATATCAACCGTGACCAGGTACACCTAGACTTGTCCTTTGCTAAAGTTTTCCTGTTGTCATGATTGAACGATTCTCATACATGTGGCACTGTCAATCCAGTGATGAATACATCTCTTGCCTACAAAAGATAAAAAAAATATTTTGTGAAGTTTTAAAAACATGCAACTGATTCACATTTCATCTTTTTCTTTTTTTCTTTTTTCTTTAAGTTTTAAAGTCTTAAACATCTCATTCTGTCCAAATATATATGCAAAATATTTTTTTAATGAAGATGAAAAAAGGAACAATAATTTCATACAAAACACAGAAAAGTTGAAGCATCTTTCAGGTCAGTACACAGTTTCTCAATGTGGTCATGCCAGATATCTTTGTCCATTAGAATACCTCAATATAAAGGTTTTGATCGAAATCAAATAAGAAATAAATCCTTGCTGAAATGGTCCAGTTGAAGTTGACAACGTGGGGCCTGCTATTTTCACAGGAATATTTTTGCGTTGTGTTAAAGATTACTATTTGGACAGTCTCGAATCTGAATAAACACACAAAAAATAGCTTTAAACTTCAAGAATATCATAAAAGCCACTTCCAGTCAACCCCAGTTTGATAAAGGACTATACAGCTACTGTAAGCTTAAAATTCATGTTACCGCGTGGGAGAGTTTGTAGGTTTCCTACAAATTTAACTTTACATCATTTACCTTAACATCAATTTTTCCATTTGACATTTTTTTCCACCTAGGCATGCCCGGAAATAGCATGTTGTATGTCCTGAGACTTAGACTTACTTCAGTCCGTAGTATTTCATTGTCTCTGCATTCTGATTCCAGCAGTCCGCTAGTTCATGTGCCACTCTGTGAATTACGTACATAAACATAAGTAACTGGAACTAAATGTAACTATGATATACATAAATATGCACTCATTTGCCGCCACAGTCATGACTGTCAGACATTCCCTTTTGAATTCTGATCGTTTTGTATGGCTCAGAAGTCGCAGACTTGTTTTCTGTCTACGAAGGGTCGTACACGCGTGGACATAACTACAAAATATATAAAGAATTTTCAAAATTGAACTGAAGGAAATATTCGTTCACTGAGAGGACCGTAGATGTTGGGAACAGTCTTCCATTTAATGTTGTAAATGCAACGACAGTTAAACAATTTGAATATAATCCTGATGAACATTAAAGAAACAGCCACAACAGTATTATTTTAAAGAAAAAATAAAACTGAACTTTATTTTAGTATAAATTGTATAAAGAGCTAACTATCAAAGGATTGTTAATCCTGTACATATTTCCTGTACCTTGTCAGAATAAATATATGTACCTATGAATCTTCGTTTCGCTAGGAAATCCGAAGGATTCAGATCCGTCAAAACGGGTGACACAGCAATCTGTAAACGCCACTTCCAGTCTGGAGTTGACTAGAGAGTTTAACAATGTACTTCGATGCTTCTTTCTGATAAATCAATACAAGTTTAACCTACTCGATATCTCAAATCACACTGTTAACTCGATACTTACCCTAGTGCAGTACATTTGAAACACAGGACATTGTCTGGTTTTCACTTTGTTCATTTTGACGCCATCTTGGTTAAATTATTTACATAAATGCGATGAGATACAAATAAAACGGACATATAGCGAACACCGCAAATTCAGCGGAACCCCAGCGGATAAAATCGCCGTTAAAATCAACAGAGTTTGGTGTTTCCTTCAAATAAGGTTAAAATTATTCAACTACATATGAACTTAATTTTGAATGAGATTTTTTTAATCTTTTGATAACAGATTCCAACACTGAAATCTAGTAAATTAAATATTCTCATAATAACAAATTTAAAAGTGAAAAAAATACCAAGCATTCACTAGTGGATTTCATTGTCTGAGTTACATTATTTTCAAATAGCTAGGCCAGTTAAATATTTCGAAAGTCCCAGGTGACCTTATGACCTGTTCACACGAGAGAGTATTTTATCTATGTACCGTTCGTTCGTCTTATGGCTTAATATACTGTGTATTTATATAATTTTCCCTAAATCAGCATGAAATACCAGTATCTAACTAGAGGACTCTAACTCTTTTCGATATTTCAGCCAATGAGAAGGCCAGGATCGGTAAATTTTGTCTGAAAGGCCGTCGCAATAGGCTGTACGTACTGAGTACGTTTAGCCTAAAAATCACATTTCGTGCACGCTCGAATCACTATAACCCTCATACTCAACATAATTAAGCAACCCAGACTGATGATATCAAGGTAAATGGGATTTATATAGAGTACGTTTACTCTTATCACCAACGTATATTTAGTATAACATGGTATTTCGGAGTTTCTTGTTACATCCCCGTTTCGCACTTCGAGAGCGTGACATTTCTTGAAAAGTGGGACCAAATGCAAAATCGATTTCTATTATTTTTTCTTCATATGTAACATGAAAATAAACCAGAACGAAAATGAAAAAAAAAAAAGATAAGTCAGGTTTACAACTATGGCCGAGGGGAGAGGTGGGTTGTTGTTTACTCTCCCCACTTTTGACCTTTTTAAGAACGCAAACATCAAATTACAATGAAAATTTCACTTAAAATCAACTATTTAAACCAAAGTATCCACCTATAATCGGCGTTGAGAGCCAAAACTTCAGAAATTCTGTGTTTGGACAACTTGAAATTCTGAAGCGAAGATATCACGGAATACAGCTCACGTAAAAGGTAAACAAATTAAAATTGTCGCTTTTGTTTACATGTTTATTAAAATGTGGCGACGTTCATCCCCACCCTGGACCCAATGAGCAGAACAAAGACAATGACTTTGAAAAAATCCACAAAAAATGCCTTCATTTTGTCCATATAGATGTAAATCGTTGTTACCGAAGATATCAGAATTGAGATCACTCTCACGTAATACACGTGCGGCTGTACTTGTCGTAAATGAAACCTGGCTCGACGACATGGTCACGGTTCACGAGATACACATAAACTACTATACTACGGTGAGAAGGGACAGATACAATAAAGTACAAACCAAATGATACAACTGAGTCTGCTTGGATTAACATTTTATTACCTGAAACCAAACCAATGGTTGTCGGTGTTTGTTACAGAAGCCTGAAAGATGACAAAGACCCTATGGAGGAACTCATAATTTTGGGTGATTTCAATATCTGCGTCCATCAGAATAGAAATATTTTGATAATATTTTATGTAATTTTCCTGAAAAAATAACCCAACATGGTAATCTTCATACTAGTTTTAGTGACCATTTTACCATATTTTGCACGAGAAAAATTGTGAAACCTACGTTTAAAAGTCACAACATTATGATAATACGTTCAATGACAGACTATAGCAAGGATGATTTTGTTTAAACACTTCTAGATGTTGATTGGTTCTCTTTCCTTTCTATAACAGACGTGAATGAAGCATGGAACAGCCATAGTGAAATAATATTAAATACCATCATTGACAATCTTGCGCTGTTTAAGGAAATACCATCAAGCAAACGACAGATCCATGGATGAATGGGGAGATTTTGGAAAATATTAAGAAAACGAGACACTGCTACATAAATACAGGATAGACGGACACAAGAAACATACATCGAGTTTTGCAAAATCAGAAACTAAATACAAAGAGAGATTAAAACTGTTAAATAAAACTATTACATGGACGAACGAGCGGAACACAGAGACAATCCTAAACACTATGGAGTATACTGGAGGACATGGGTCATGCTCCAAAAAAGGTCTATTCATTTTCATCTTGGAAATAGATAATGTTTTATGTTATGATTCAAATACTATCGTAAATTATTTTAATACGTTTTACACAAATGTTGCTGCAACATCTGTTGCTAAATTGCCAAACTTCCAAAATAATTTACGGCACCTGTTCAGAGTTGTTCCAATTATTTTATCGGAACAAATGTAATACAACATTTTCATTTACACCTGTTACCTATGGCTTCGTTTTCAATCAACTTACAAATTTAAATCCGTCCAAAAGTACTGGCTTAGATGATATTTCTGCCAGTTTTCTTAAAGATGGCGCGAGCGTCTTGACTGCACCAATTAACCATGTAATTAATCTATCCCTCTCTTTCTAGGTTGTACCAGATAGTCTGAAATCCGCAAGAGTTACACCTATTTATAAAAAGAAATCTAGAACAGATGCCGGTAAGTATTTTTAATACTATGTCAGAAATATTAATTAGATCAGTTTATTCCCAACTCAATACTTTTCTGATGGATAACAATTTATTGTACCAACATCAATCTTGGTTTAGAGGACATTATTCTACAGATACGGCCCTGTTACACCTGTTTGATCATTTAAAGTGTCAATCGTCAAAAGGCCTATATACAGGCATGATATTGTTGGATCTACAGAAAGCGTTCGACACTGTCGACCATATAATTTCATGTGACAAATTGAAGGCAATAGGGGTTGAGTGTTCGTCCTGGTTTTCTTCATATCTGTCTTCTAGATACCAAATCGTCTCTATTAAATATGTTGTATCTTCGTCTCAAAAAGTTACATGTGGGGTATGTGGGGTACATGTGGGGTACCCCAGGGGAGTATTTTGGGACCCCTTCTTTTCCTCTGTTATGTCAATGACATGGAACTAAGCATTAGTAAAGATTCCAAATTACTTTTCTACGCAGACGATAGCGCATTTCTGTTTTCCGACAAAGATCGTGGGGAAATTAAAGCAAAATTATCGTAGGAATTGGCAATTTTCACGTGTCAACTTAGCAAAATTAACCTATTTGATATAACCGTGAATTCTCAAATCAAGTGTGCTATCTTGGTATCGACGTAGATAACTGTTTAACAGGCGAAAGTAATGTTGGAAACTTAGTGAAAAAAGTTAATTCCAGTTAATTCCTAATGCTAGTGAAAAATATCACTTTGAGGATTCGCACTCGTGAAAGATACCAAAATATTAGCCACACTAGTGAAGTATATTTGTTATTACAGAAGACACTATTAGATATCCTATATGTATATATATAAAAGAATTTGCTATCGTGCGATAATACGAACTGTGTTAACGTGTTAAAGAATTATAACGTTCTCATTTCGTAAAACATTGTAAATTTCTTTATTATGTATACTTTCTGTATCTAAATATCCCCAAATCGGTGAAAATAAAGTTTGATGATAGGTCCGTTTCTCGTTTGAACAACACAATTACATGTCAAGATATTGAGATAAAACAAGGCTTTCCTAGCGGGTTTATATAATAATCTCGAAATAACCCGTTTATGGTTAAGTGGAACTGTAGAGCCCGAGGTTTCTATACTTTGTATACCACGTTATAACTCACCTGGAAAATTGTGCGGTTCCTTTCGGTAAATTTTTTATTCTGATCGTATACGATAATGGAAATGAAAAATAATCTATTTTTACTGATAAGTGATGACATCTTTACTACATCCAACTTATTGTCGTTAATTATTTTCTTATATTACAACGAAGCATAATTGACTGAATCGAAATGAAAATCCACCCGACTTAACGTCAGTCATCATGTATAATGATGTCAAGTCAAAAATCCACCCGACTTAACGTCAGTCATCATGTATAATGATGTCAAGTCAAAAATCCACCCGACTTAACGTCAGTCATCATGTATAATAATGTCAAGTCAAAAATCCACCCGACTTAACGTCAGTCATCATGTATAATAATGTCAAGTCAAAAATCCACCCGACTTAACGTCAGTCATCATGTATAATAATGTCAAGTCAAAAATCCACCCGACTTAACGTCAGTCATCATGTATAATAATGTCAAGTCAAAAATCCACCCGACTTAACGTCAGTCATCATGTATAATAATGTCAAGTCAAAAATCCACCCGACTTAACGTCAGTCATCATGTATAATGTCAAGTCAAAAATCCACCCGACTTAACGTCAGTCATCATGTATAATAATGTCAAGTCAAAAATCCACCCGACTTAACGTCAGTCATCATGTATAATAATGTCAAGTCAAAAATCCACCCGACTTAACGTCAGTCATCATGTATAATAATGTCAAGTCAAAAATCCACCCGACTTAACGTCAGTCATCATGTATAATAAACCCGACTTAACGTCAGTCATCATGTATAATAATGTCAAGTCAAAAATCCACCCGACTTAACGTCAGTCATCATGTATAATAATGTCAAGTCAAAAATCCACCCGACTTAACGTCAGTCATCATGTATAATAATGTCAAGTCAAAAATCCACCCGACTTAACGTCAGTCATCATGTATAATAATGTCAAGTCAAAAATCCACCCGACTTAACGTCAGTCATCATGTATAATAAGGTCAAGTCAAAAATTGAAATATTTAACAAACCGATATTTCTAGGTCAAATGTCGAGGTCAAAGACTTTAATATGACCAACAGTGAAATGGGGAAAAATCCATTACGGCGAATTCTAAAAGGTAATTTCAATTAATTATATTCAAATGCTTATGTCTTCCATCTGGAATTTACAGAATCGATCATTTGTATGTCGGTGTCTGATCACTGGTGGTAAGGCGGATATCATAAATATAAACTTTATTTA